GTAACTTGGAAGCACGTCAGGAGGAGCCATCCCTCGTGCCTCCCACCGCTGCCATAAAGAAATGCCGGCTTCTCTGCAGCGCTGTGGATAAGTTTGTCGGGATTGTGACCCTCCGTCAACACTCTTATATGACTTTATTATGTGTTAGGTGTGTGCTTGCTGCGTGTTTGAGCGTGTTAGGTGTGTGCTTGCTGCGTGTTTGAGCGTGTTAGGTGTGTGCTTGCTGCGTGTTTGAGCGTGTTAGGTGTGTGCTTGCTGTGTGTTTGAGCGTGTGTTAGGTGTGTGCTTGTTGCTTGCTGCGTGTTTGTGTTTGAGCATGTATTAGGTGTGTGCTTGCTGCGTGTTTGAGCGTGTATTAGGTATGTGCTTGCTGCTTGCTGCGTGTTTGAGCGTGTGTTAGGTATGTGCTTGCTGCTTGCTGCGTGTTTGAGCGTGTGTTAAGTATGTGCTTGCTGCGTGCTTGAGCGTGTGTTAGGTATGTGCCTACGTGTTTGAGCGTGTATTAGGTATGTAGTTGCTGCATGTTTGAGCATGTTAGGTATGTAGTTGCTGCGTGTTTGAGCGTGTGTTAGGTGTGTGCTTGCTGCGTGTTTGAGCGTGTATTCCCACGTCTATGATCTTAATTTGTGAAAAGGTCGGTTGCGGCTGGCAGTGTGCTGTGGTTTTTATCTGAGAGAGTGCTTTACGGTTTTCCTTTCCTTCCCAGAATTGTTCGAGAAGAAGAACTATGAGCTGAGAATAGCAGGAGGTGCTGTGAGGGATTTGCTCAGTGGAATGACACCCCAAGATGTAGATTTTGCCACTACAGCTACCCCCGCAGAGATGAAGGAAATGTTCACGTCTGCTGGCGTTCGTCTGATCAATAACAAGGGAGAAAAACACGGAACCATTACTGCCAGGGTGGGTTTGTGATTGGACTTGGGGCCTTTCTAACTGTGTCTGTGAATGTGCAGCGTAACGTGCTCCTTCCTTGTTGAAGTGTCACAGTAAGGGTTTGAGTGAGACCCTGCTTTAAAGTACAGAGTGGTTTTTTGGTACTTTTTGTTTGTAGAATTCAGGTAATTAGCGTATTATACCACATGTTACCTCTGCATAACCCCTTTGTGCTGCTGTGTCATCACTGGAAGAGATCATGTTGGCCACCCACACGTTCAGGTAACGTGGGGAGGTTGATCCTACTCCTTCCTGCTCCTGATTTCCCAAGTCTTGCGTCCTCTGCCTCTTATTCCGTCTTCTGCAGGAGGGTTTCTGCAGGCTGTCTAGAAAATGAATAGCGCAAGGATTGTTTTCAGGTGTTGGTGTGTCTGGATTTCTGTCTGAAAGCGTGGTACCTGCTGGTTTGCATGTGCCCAGCTTGAACACTTAACTGTGCACTAACAGGGGGCTGAAAAAATATACAGCTTTGACGGTTTATGCATTCCAGTATTTTGTTGAAGTAACCATGTCTGTGGGATTTTCAGCTCCATGAACAGAATTTTGAAATTACTACTCTTAGAATCGATGTGGTCACCGACGGACGGCATGCAGAGGTGGAATTCACCACTGACTGGGAAAAGGACGCTGAAAGGCGGGATCTGACTGTCAATTCCATGTTTTTAGGTGAGTTCTTTCAAAAGCAAACGTTTAGGTGAAACACTGCTTTTCAAACTAAGCCGGTAAATTCCCTCGGTCTGGTTCAGTTTTGGTTTTGTGCTGCTGTCAGCTGAAAGGTCTGTACAAAGCAGGTCAAATCACACAGCTTGTCTTCCGTGTCTTCGAGTGAGAGTGCTTCATTGTGCCAGCCATTTTTGTAAATTCCTTTTCCTCCTTTTTTTTCTTCTTCTTCTTCTTCTTTTTCTAGGTTTGGATTAGGTGCTGTATGATTTTTTTAATGGGTATGAAGACTTGAAAAACAAGAAAATTAGATTCGTAGGAAAGGCAAGTGAGCGAATACAAGAAGATTATTTACGAATCCTAAGATATTTCAGGTACTCGGTTTTGCCTTTCCTCGGTGAAGAAGTGAAGGGAGCGTTTGTAGAGGGTTTCAGGAACGCGCAAAAAGAGATCAGTGATGTACAAAGAGTTGTAATTGTCATATTAAGTTTCCTTTCCTGTGATAAATTAGAATATTTAACGCTGTCGTGACATTGATTCTCTGAATAGCAGCAATACATGGAATAACCGTTCTCGGCCTAACGTACAGAGGTTTTATTTCGTCAGGTTTTATGGAAGAATTGCAGAGAAACCTGGCGATCACGAACCTAGTACACTGCAGGCAATTAAAGAAAATGCCAAAGGTTTGGCTGGAATATCAGGAGAAAGGATTTGGGTGGAGCTGAAAAAGATTCTTCTTGGAAACCACGTAAATCATTTGGTTCGACTTATGTATGAGCTGGATATCGCCCAGTACGTAGGTAAGTGAGATGAAGGCTGGCGTCCTCCTGCTGTATCATACACAGACGGCCCTGCAGCTTGGCAAAGTGAGATAAAACTTGATTTTACCCAGAAAGAAATTAGGTTTAGGGTTTTTTTCCCCTGTGTTAACATCCACATTTCTGATTAACACTTTTTTTATGTGTATCCCTGCAGGACTGCCGCTTGATGGAAATCTAGGGGAATTCGACAGAGTCACTACAAACGTTCAAAATCTGTGTCCAAAACCGATGACTGTTCTGACATCACTGTTCAAGGTGAAGGATGATGTCACAAACCTTGACCTGAGACTGAAAATCTCAAAAGAAGAAAAAAACCTTGGCCTTTTTTTAGTGAAGCACCGGCAAGAGTTAACCAAAGCTGCGGGTCCAGAACCACTTAGACCATACCAGGACTTCATCATGGATGTAAGTGTGTTTCACGCTGGTTTATTGTGTTCTTCACGGTAACTTTGAGTTTCCAGGGTTACAGGGTAGCAGAGATGATAACGCCCAGTGGAAGGAAAGGGCCTTAAAGAGTCAAGTAAGAGCCGGTCCATCAGCAGGGTTGTTCATTGGTCCTGGGCAAATTTTTGGTGGGGTTTTCGTTATCAGGCCCTGATATTTTCATCAGGAAGACGGGATGTACTGACTAAAAAACTGTCAGCCAGATTGGGATTGCTCCCAGTGTCTGATTGTCACCGTACTGGAAGATCATGTCGCTGTGTTACTGATCCCAGTTCCAGTTCACTAAGGTGGGGTGGGGGGGTTTTCCCCTTTGTTTTTCCTCCGGAGAGGGGGGACCAAGAGCTTTTGCACATGCCCTGGCATGTCTCTGCCACGTAAAGCAGAAACTGGTATGAAAAGGTTTTCTTCCTTTAGTAGAGTTTAGTTTTGGAAGAGAATAAGCAGCAGGCATTTCTGCTTGGGCTCAAAAGCTTTTGTGTTCTTTCCCGTCCAAAATACTGAGGCTTTAAATTCATTTTTAAGAAATTATTTCAAACAAAGAAGCAAAACAGAAAGACCCACCGTTTTTTTAGCAGTTCTGAGCACCTCGTGTTCTGCAGCAATTTTTGGGCTGGATTTAAAAGCCGACCTTTCAGTCATCTGACCCCCAAGTTCCCCGTGAACGTGCCCAGGGACTGCAGTTCCCTGTGCCCTCCCAGCTGATCTTCCCATGAGACAGGCTCTGGACCCCGAGAAACTCCAGCTTTTGGGTGTGGAATTCATGAATTGGGTATTGAATGAAGTCCCCAAGGATCTCCCGGAGCCTCCAGGTTAGGCCTGAGTTTTAAAACTTGTGAGGCAGGAGAGATCCTCGCTTTTGTCATTCCAACTCATAATCCAGATGTGGTGGGAATCACGCGATGCTGAGCGCCCTTGGAGCTGGTTTCACAGTGAATCCTCTCGTTTCTTTCAGTCTAGGGAAGCCAACACAAATTCCAAGATCTATGAGCTTCTGAAATACCAAGGAGAGGAACATCTGGTAAGGGAAATGCAGCAATGGACTATTCCTTCTTTCCCTGTTAGCGGCCATGATTTAAGAAAAATGGGTGTATCTTCTGGAAAAGAAATTGGAACAGCCTTACAGCAGTTGAGGGACGAATGGAAGAAGAGTGGCTACCACATGGATAAAGAAGAACTGTTGAGTTGCCTGAAGAAGTTGTAAAATTGTGTAATAGTGGAGAACTGTTTGTGCCCTGTTCCGGGTGTAACTGAGATACCAGTAAATACTCTGTCAGCCTTGTGGCAGGGG